AAGACAGCTCCAAACTGGAGGAGTTCATTAAGGTATTGGGGGAAGGTGAAATCATGCAAAGTAGTTATGTCACCATCATAATTAAGAAGGGGTAGCAGTGACATTGTAAATTGGCTCCCATGGGGCATCTGAGAGAGAGCATGGATTTGTCCCTCCGTACCCCTGTCTTTGCTCCTTTATTTCCAAGCTCTTGGTTATGTTCTCAGTTTGCCTGGCTTGCTGTCTGAGTCTGGAGCGTGCTGGCTTTTGCCAGTGTGACTGGCAAGCTAATGAGAGGTGGTTAGACCACTTCCTTTCTGCATGTGTGATCTTTCCCGTGTGTGAGAGGTACTAAGTTGTCCCTGCTCCGGCTTTCCTCCTCTTACATAAATGATTGCTGCTTGTGGACTGTGGGAATGTTGCTGAGGGACCATCTTTCTGCTTTTGTTCTTATAGACGAGTGAGAGCGAGGTCCACTTTGATGTGGAAACGGCGATCAAGGTGCTTCGTCAAGCAGGTTACTACTCCCATGCTGTATACCTGGCAGAGAAGCACGCGCATCATGAATGGTACCTCAAAATCCAGCTAGAGGACATCAAGGTGAGGAGACATTATTGCTCCCATGTTCTTACTGGGGAGAATACCACTTCTCTAGCCTCCTCTTCAGCGAGAATACCATTTCACTGACCTCTTCCCTGCAGCTAGCGTGCTGACAGGACTGCTGAGGCAGCAGTAACAACACCTGCTGCTGCTGCTTGTGTGTTGGCTTTCCACTTTTGGCTTCTGCGGTAGACTAGGGGTGGAAATTGGAGGGTCTTGTTCTCTTTCAGATGTGGCTTTTTACAGTGCCCTTTAAAAGGAAGGAGGGTCATTAGTGAGAGATTGATCTAAATCGTGCTCTCTTTCCCCTGGGCCACAGCTGGTCTTCCTCTGTGAGGAAGAAAACAAGCAGGAATAGTGAACCAGGTGATAATTCAGAGGAAACGGTGTTTGTGGCATACTTGCAGCATGTCTTCAGTGCTTTCTGTCCTAACCTCGAAGCGGAGAGCGGAGGCCATTCTCATGTGATTATTTTGCTGGCTGCCTCCACAGAACTACCAAGAGGCTTTGTGCTACATTGGAAAACTGCCTTTTGATCAGGCAGAGAGTAACATGAAGCGGTACGGTAAAATCCTGATGCACCATGTCCCTAATGAAACCACAGAATTGCTGAAGATCCTTTGCACTGATTACCGGCCGTCGGGAGACAACGAAGGCCCTGGGATGCTGGAAGGAAAAAAGGTACGGTTTGCGTTGACTGAGAGTTGTTGCTCTTGAGTGGTGTCTTTGAATCCCATTCGCATTCCTGCCAACCCATAACCTTTCCAGGTGGGCACTAATAACATGAGGCAACTCAACTTTGCAGCAAGCGAGTGCTCCTGCGTGCCTTGCGGTGCAGGCCTGATGTTTTAGGTATAATGAGAAGCCCCGTCCTGGTGTACTGGTAGTCCCAGAGACAAGAGACTGCTTAAAGCTATTGCTCAGAACTGATTCCTGCCGTGATCGGCATCCCGTACCGTGCTGTATCTGTCGTGTCATGGACTCTGGGAATGACCACTTGGTGCGGCAAGGAAGAAGCGCCAGTCTGGCTGAGACTGAACTGGGTGCTCAACTCTTTCTGGCTGTGTTACAGGCTAATTCAGAGGAGTTCATTCCGGTCTTTGCGAACAACTCCCGAGAACTGAAGGCTTTTCTGGAGCACATGACTGAGGTGCAGGCTGACTCTCCGCAGGGTGTCTATGACACTTTACTGGAACTTCGGCTCCAGAACTGGGCACATGAACAAGATGAGCAGGTTTGAGCTCCTCCAGCTTTGTGTTTTGAGAGGGACATTTGGTGTCTTTGAATCAGATTTGCATTCTTGCCAGCCCTTAACCTGTCCAGATGGGCCTTGGTAACATGAGGCAATACATACGCTGTGCTGGACAAATGGCACATAAATGGGAAAGCGGCCTGCTAGCGGGAGAATATGCCTTTCAGTGAGGCTGAGCTTGTTTTGTATGAATCTCATTTAAGAACAGATTCTAGACAATACAACCTCTGTGGGCAGATGCTTCTCCCACAAGAGTAGCTCTATTTGCTTGCCTAGATCTCTGAGGATGCTGGCTGTTTGGGCGGAAGAAATCACGTCCTGTTTGCTTAAAAGGGATAGAGGGCAAACAGCAAAATTGTCCTCCTCTTTGAAAGAGCTGCAAATTGTTGTCAGGTCTTAGTGCAAAATGTTCTCTGCGCGTGTGTTGCTCTCCCCGACCTCTCGCCCTTCTCTGTAGATCAAGGAGAAGCTGCACAATGAAGCCCTCACCCTCCTGAAGAGTGGAAGGTTCAAAACAGTCTTTGATAAGGCCTTGGTCTTATGTCAGATGCACAATTTCAAGGATGGTGTCCTCTACCTATATGAGCAGGGCAAACTGTGAGTGTTGCTCTTGTCTATAGGGTCCTGTCCCCCCCGCCCCCACTGCAGGGATTTCTGAGCCATAAATGTCCCTGCCTTACAATGGTAACAACCTCTTTAGTATCTCAAGATGGGAACTGTAGATTGTTGCTCAGCTGAAAATACCTTGTTGATAGAGCAGGGCAGTTATGTAGAGAGTGAATGACAGATCTGCCTTGGCTTCTGTGTGAATGTCTCGGGATTGCACGGCTGGGTGAAAAACGGAGGTCCCTGTAACAACTCAAAAGGAAGGATTGTTGCAGCTGATGAGTCTCTTTCTCCTGTAGTTTCCAACAGATCATGCACTACCACATGCAGAACGAGCAGTACAAGAAGGTGATCGAGGTGTGCGAGTTGTATGGAGACCAAGAGGCTTGTCTCTGGGAACAGGCTCTCGGCTACTTTGCACGGAAGGAGGAGGACTGCAAAGAGTATATTGCTGCGGTGCTGAAACACATTGAGAGCAAGAACCTTATGCCTCCGCTCCTTGGTAATAACGACATGGGGCACCCCCAGAAAAACCCCAACCACCAAACTAGTTTATAGCACTCTCTGTAGATTAGAAATTTGAGAGAAGTATCAACGAAGTTTGAGCCCACCATTGGAAGTAATAACGTGCTCTATAGGGAAAAGCGATGCCGGTCACAGGCCCCTAATTAGGAAGAAAGATGTGTTGTATCAGTCGTAGAGATGTCTGTATGTGACTTCTGTTCTGTCAGTGTGGGGAGGTGAAGGGCTTGCTGAAACTCCTGCTGTGCCTTGGTGGAGAAGTTGAAATGGAATCCAATCCACTAGATCCTTGCTTTGCCCTTTTTGGTCTGAGCTATCCAAACATGCTCGCAGTCACCCATTTCTGAAAGAGGTCAAACTAAAATCGAGTTTTTAAATGAGCTCTCCGATTCAGTAAGAAATGCTGACTGCCTTTGTCTGTAAGTGGCCTTTTACAGGAAACCGGTCTGTCCAGGTAGGACTGACTAGTGTAGCTGCAGTTTTTTTGCTTGTGTTTAAACTAACATCTCTGTTGTTCTCAGTTGTGCAGACGCTGGCTCATAACTCCACAGCCACACTGTCTGTGATTAAGGATTATCTTGTCAACAAGCTGCAGAAGCAGAGCCGCCAGATAGAGCAGGATGAGCAGAAAATTCAAAAATACCGAGAAGAAACTACAAGGATCCGCCAGGAGATCGAAGAGCTAAAAGCAAGGTGCGGGACTGTGTGCTGTCTTGTCTTATAGGGGATAAAACCGTTGTTCTCTTTTCTTAAGGAAAAACATACTTTGTCTTTCTCGCCCTTCTGCCTCCTCTCACTCTCTCAGTCCCAAGATCTTTCAGAAGACCAAGTGTAGCATTTGCACCAGTGCCCTGGAGCTGCCTTCAGTCCACTTCCTGTGCGGCCATTCCTTCCACCAGCATTGCTTTGAAAGCTACTCCGAGAGCGATTCAGAATGTCCTACTTGCATGCCAGAAAATCGCAAAGTGATGGACATGATCCGAGCCCAGGAGCAGAAGAGAGATCTGCATGACCAGTTTCAGCATCAGGTAGGGTAATGTGGCCCGTCGTACCAAGTTTAAATAAGTAGGGTTTAGATTCATTTACAGATACCCAGAGGCTGGTAGAGAAGGGTAAGGGTGAAAGTATTTTGTAAAGGAGGTTATGCTGACTGCGAATAATGAGGCATTAAGCCCTTGGGTTGTCTGCATTAGGTATAGGGCATAACGAGTCCTTGATGCTCTCCAAAGGTGAAAGAGAAAGTATTCTCACCAGACCCTGAAAGGGATCGAGATGTACTGGTCCGTGTGACAGCTGGTCCACAAGTTGCATAGAACAAATTGAGGAGAAAGGAAAAAAAAAAAGTAGCGTGAGTCGGAACGGGGACAGGATGGTGCAGGCGGGGTACGCCAAAAGTGCCGTGTCTGCATCGTCCTCCCCAAGGATGAAGTGGCGAAGTTGAGAGCGGGGCATCAGCTGGAACATGTTAACGTAGGTGGAAGCTTGAGTAGCTGAGGCAGTCGCTTTCCTCCTTAAGATAATTGTTCATTACCTCTTGAGCGCATGGCTCAAAACGTAGGATTGGAACAAGAGGTGGAAGGGCCAGCGGCAGAAAACCTTAGCGGTGGAAGCTGCTGGGGCAGCACTTGCCTCGAACTAGCAGAACAGCCAAGGAGAGGAGGCTTGGGCTGCTGTGTCTCGAAGAACGAGGCTGCGGGGCAGGGGCTGAAAGAAAGGGGGCCGGGGGCTCGGGAGGCTCTTCCTGACGCTGCTGCTTTGTCTCCGGCAGCTCAAGTGCTCCAACGACGGCTTCTCCGTTGTCGCCGACTACTTTGGCCGAGGCGTCTTCAATAAGCTCACCCTCATCACGGACCTGCCCTCGGGAAAGGCGGCTACGACGATCGAGGCGGGCCTGCAGCGGGGGCTGGTCCTCCCC